GCAATGAGGGAGGGACCTCTTCCGAGTCTGGCCAGCGGGGCTCCTTTCCCCCCCTGCCCGGGCGCTCCGAGGGGCGATTGCCCAGGCAGTGAAACAAAGGCGAGCGGAGGGCAGCCGGGCGAAGGGGTGAGTCTGAGAGGGGGCAGAAGCAGAGGACGCCCTGCAAGTGAAGGGCGGGACAGGAAGCCTTGCAGCCAGCGTCTGTTATTTGTCTTCCTAGAAGGCTGTTTTCCACTGGGTCTACTGGGTGCAGGGGGATCCGCTGCAATTCCACTGGATCTCTAAATGGGCTTTTTAGTTCCGCCCCCTCGTTTCTTTCAGTCTGCCCCTCTTATCATCCCGTGTTAAAGTCTGCTCCGGCGTTGCATGCTTCCTAGGGAAAGCAGAGGCGTAACCTGTGGGTGTCGGACTTGTGCAACACTTCACTTATTAAAGGTAAAGGTAAAGGTGTCCCTTGCTCGAAAGCCAGTCGAGTCCGACTCTAGGATTGCGGTGCTCATCTCCGTTTCCAAGCCGAAGAGCCAGCGCTGTCCGAAGACGTTTCCGTGGTCATGTGGCCGGCATGACTAAACACCAAGGCGCACAGAACGCTGTTACCTTCCCACCGAAGTGGTACCTATTTATCTACTTGCAATTTCTTGCTTTCAAACTGCTAAGTTGGCAGGCCAACCTTCGCTTATTAGGTGCATAAAAACTCCCGGAGCGCCCTGGAGGCGGTAGGTTACTCCTCTCCCCAAATGCATGGGGATGAATGACACCACCAGCCGAGGGGGGGCTCCTCCAACAGTAGACACCAGCCGTCACTGGTGCGCCCGTTCCCGTCTTCTTGGGCGGGGGGGTGTCCCAGGCACCATTGTTATGGGTACCGTGCAATGCTCCCTCTAAGCTGTGGAGTCTTGTGAGCAAAAATTCCATTTTGTGAGCTACTGGCATTAAAGTTGTGAGCCAGCAATTTGGCTGCTGCATAAATGAGTTTGCTCTGGAGCCCTCCTTCCTTTAGCCACAGGCTAAAAAAATGTGTGAGCCACAGGCTAAAAAACTGTGAACTAGCTCACACTAACTCAGCTTAGAGGAAACACTGGTACCGTGGTATGCACCATGGTAGGCACACCAGTACCACCGGGTCTGCTCATCTTGGCTAGGAGAGGCTCGGGCTGATGGACGAAATAGGATTCCTAACAATTCTGTGACGGCATGCTCAATTCGAGACGTTTAAACAACCTGCTTGGGAGGCTGCTTGCCATAGACGTGTGCACATTGAAGATGGGGTGTATGTATTTGGGTGGCTGTGCCCACGTGTTGCTCAATTCGAGACGTTTAAACAACCTGCCTGGGAGGCTGCTTGCGATCAGGGCTTCCCAGTCCCCAGACGTGTGCACGTTGAAGATGGGGTGTACGTATTTGGGTGGCTGTGCCCACGTGCGACAGGTGGGTTGGGGGAAAGGGGTTTGTTGTGATGCGCGGTTTGGTTGTAATGCACGGAGCTCCTCCCTATTCTGGATTTTGTGGATGCTGCCTTATATTTTGCCCCAAATGACATTGGCCTGAGAGTGCAAATTCCGGACAGGTGTTATAAGAGGTTTCTGTCTTGCTTTTCTGCCACTTATCTCTTCAAAGAAGCTGCATGTTCTGAATTTTGTAGCCCGTTTTGAGCCTCTGCAAGAAGAGTGGACTATAAATAAATGTATTTATTTATCAAATGTATACCCTGCCCTCCCCGTGGAAGCAGGCTCAGGGCGGCTTACATAAAAGATTAAAATAGTAAATAAGTAAGGATTGGAAGGTTTTCATTATAGATTTCTTGTGGCTTCATCTGAAATAACATTCTCCCCCCACCCCCATCCCCCACTTGGTCATCTTAGCGCTGGAATTATCCTAGTGCAGAGAGTAGAATTTTATTTTGGAACTAGCAGGGCTATGACAAGACTGGGGGGTTAATCTTCTGATTTCTTTCTTTCTTGTTTCTGCAGATGTGTAGGCCATGAATGAGGGACACAGGCCTTCTGGGCTGAAAGAGGAGGTGTCCAATCAACCCTGCCACACTGCTTCCAAATTCCAGGAGATCTCTTGGGGCAGCCAGTACTTTTCCAATGAGTTGAAGGGATCTCATGAAGAACAACATCGTCCTAGACTTGCTGCTGGAAATCTTCCCAAGCACTATGGGATTTCCAGTAACACATTCAAAGGAAGCTATGATGCCGCTAGGGTCACCGGGAGTGAGCCATATAATGAAGGCCCAGAAGACGAGGGTGTGGAATCAAAAGTCCAACCTAGGTTAGAAAAAGAAAGTGCGCAAGATGTCTGTAACAGATGTAGTCGTTATAACCTTGGCACATAGTGCCTTTGTTAGCCGCCCTGAGCCTTCGGGGTAGGGTGGGATATAAATCCAAACATAAATAAATAAAAAATAAATAAAGGTTTTCATTATAGATTTCTTGCGGCTTCATCTGAAATAACATTCTCCCCCCACTTGGTCATTTTAGTGCTGGAATTATCCTAGTGCAGAGAGTAGAATTTTATTTTGGAACTAGCAGGGCTATGACAAGACTGGGGGGTTAATCTTCTGATTTCTTTCTTTCTTGTTTCTGCAGATGTGTAGGCCATGAATGAGGGACACAGGCCTTCTGGGCTGAAAGAGGAGGTGTCCAATCAACCCTGCCACACCGCTTCCAAATTCCAGGAGAGCTCTTGTGACAGCCAGTACTTTTCCAATGAGTCGAAGGGATCTGATGAAGAACAGCATCGTACTAGACTTGCGGCAGGAAATCTTCCCAAGCAATATGGGATTTCCAGTAACACATGCAAGGGAAGCTATGATGCTGCTAGGGTCACTGGGGGTGAGCCATGTAATGATGGCCCAGAAGACGAGGGTGTGGAATCAAAGGTCCAACCTAGGTTAGAAAAAGAAGGCGGGCAAGATGTCTGTAACAGATGTAGTGATGGCTCGGGTCTTGGTGGAAAGTGTGGATCCTGTCCAGAACTTCACTCAGGCGAGGCTGAGCAAAGTACCGAGCTGCCCTCCGGCGCAGAGTGTAAACCAACATGTGGCATCGACGACAGCAATCGTGCACATGCCGATGCCAATGGAGACCTAGTTGGGGAGAATGAGGAGCAGTTTCATCTAAGTGAAGATGATAGTCAAGCGCTGTCTTCCGACTCGAATGGCGGTGGTGGCAAGCGAGACTGGGACGGAGACGCCAATCAAGGTTTTCGTCCGGGTTTGGAAGGAGACCCAAGCCTCCCTGTGAAAATGGAAGACCTCAATCCAGAGGTGGATGAAGATTCCAGTGGGGAGATGGATGAAGAAACGGACGTCAATGAAGACTCCGAGTCAGAGATGGATAGGGACGATGCTGGCCTCCAGGTAGAAGGCAGTGGTGGTGACCGAGAGTTAGAGGAGGGTGCTGTCCCTCCGGAGGCCAGCCTCGACTCTTCCCATGCTACCCCCTCCTCCATTTTACCACCAGTGCCTGACAAACCCTACAGATGCCCTGAATGTGGGAAGTGCTTTGGCACCAGCTCTATCCTGGGCCAGCACTGCCGCATCCATAGTGGCGAGAAGCCTTATAGGTGCAGCGTCTGTGGGAAGTGCTTCAGCCGGGGCTCCACCTTCCTTCAGCACCAGCGGACGCACACGGGTGAGAAACCCTACAAGTGCCCCGATTGCGGCAGGCGCTTCAGCCGGAGTTCCAACCTCATCCAGCACCAGCGAGTCCACACGGGCGAGAAGCCCTACAAGTGTGGCATCTGTGGGAAGTCTTTCTCTCTCAGCTCTACCCTCATCCAGCATCAGATTATCCACACGGGCGAAAAACCGTACAAGTGCCCTGACTGTGGCAAATGCTTCAACCGCAACTCCAACTTGCTGAACCATCGGCGAGTGCACACGGGGGAGCGCCCCTTCGCCTGCCGTATCTGCGGCAAGCGGTTTTCTGAAAGCTCCTCCCTCACCCAGCACCTGAGGACGCACACCGGGGAACGCCCTTTCCGGTGCAACGATTGTGGCAAAATGTTCTCCCTGAGCTCCACTTTGATCCAGCACCAGGTCACGCACACCGGGGAGAAACCTTACGAGTGCCTGGACTGCGGCAAGGCCTTTGGGCTCAGCTCTACCCTGTTGCGCCACCAGCGGGTCCACACTGGGGAGAAGCCGTTCGAGTGCCAGGACTGCGGCAAAACCTTCAGCGTCAGCTCCCATTTCTTGCAGCACAGGAGAGTCCACACAGGTGAGCGTCCCTTCCAGTGTCTGGACTGCAGCCGTGCATTCAGCCAATGGGCACATCTGGTGCTGCATCAGAAGGCGCATCAGAACGGGACGGGATCCCAGCTTCACCGTAAGACCCTCTATATTTGCAGCAATTGCGGCAAGAGGTTCCAGCAGAGCTCACACTTGGCGCAACATCAGAGAGTCCATTCTGGGAAAAGGCCATACCGCTGTGAGGACTGCGGACACGGATTCTCCCAGAGTTCCAAGCTGCTGGAACACCAAAGGGTCCACACGGGCGAGAGACCGTACCCCTGTCAGGACTGCGGGCGCTGCTTCGGACATAGTTCGGCGCTTGCACAGCATCGGCGCATTCACTCCGGAGAGAGGCCTTATAAATGCCCTCATTGCGGCAAGTCCTTCTGCCAGAGTTCGGCTCTCGTGCAGCACCAGCGCATCCACACTGGGGAACTGCCATACAACTGCCAGGAGTGCGGCCAGCGTTTCCGCTACCTCCTGCAGTACACGCGGCATCAAAAGATGCACGTTAAGGAATGGGCCTCAACAGCTGCCGTAGAAGGGGCGGCCATCTTGGTGATGAAGAACAAGATGGCGCCATCAGCAGGGGATGAGACTCTGGGAGAAACTTTAATTGTGAAGGAGGCATCACTGGTGGACCATGGGGAATGAGTGACATGGTTGGAAGCTGGAGGGGAGGTGCAGGAACCTGTATGGCAGAGAGAGCAAGAATGGCTCAGAAACGAGAAAGCATTCTGACAGAAAGTGGGAGAGATTGGTCTGATAACCAGGGCTATTTTGGGGCAGGAACGCACAGGAACGGAGTTCCGGCTGGCTCCTGAGTTGGCCACGCCCAGCAGGAACTCATTAGCATAATAGGCCACACCCAATAACAGAAACTCATTAGGATTGGCTACATTAGGGGTGTGTGGCCTAACATGCAAAGGAGTTCCTGCTACAAAAAAGCCCTGGGTTTTGACAACAAACAAGGTAAACAGAATAAGAAGCAAAAGGTGGGTGTGGCTGGATGACCACACGTCTGGTAACATGGGGGTGTGGCCTAATGTACTAATGAGCTGTGCTGGCAGGGGCATGGCCTAATATGCTAATGTGTTTTGCTGTTGGGTGTGGCCTATTATGCTAATGAGTTCCTGCTGGGCTTTTTCTACAAAAAGAGCTCTGGAATGGGGACATTTCATAGGAGGGTTGGCCGACCTTAAGGGTGGAAAAAGTGCATAGGGAGGCCAAGGTCAGCAGACATTATTGACCTTGTATCAGGGACATTTTAAATGGATGAAATATAGTAAGGGGGAAAATATTCTGCTCAGGGCCCCATGCCTCCCCTGAGGGAACATTTGTTTCCTCTCAGAGTGCATTTCAGCAATAGGCACAAGGGACAATTGTCCTCTTGGGGACACTGTTCCCCAATAATCTGTCAAATATCTACGCAGCCTTAATAATCCCCTCAGAAAGTACTTTGTAGCATTAAATCTATGCTCCCCCAGTGAAGAGGGACTTGGAGCAGTCACAAGGCGGCACCTCCTTGGTTTGCTTCGTTAATAGCCCTCAGCGATCACAAGATTTCTCCTCAGAAATACTGTAGTTGCGCCCTCAGATTCCTGTTCAATCCCTCTATGCTGTGGAGTCCTGTGAACAAAAATTCTACTTTGTGAGCAACTGGCATTAAAGTTGTGAGTGAGCGATTTGGCTGCTGCATAAATTAATGTGCTCTGGAGCCCTCCTTCAGCTAAGACAAGAATCTGTGAGCCGGAGGCTAAAATACTGTGAGTTAGTTACACACTAACTCAGAGGGAACACTGGTTGGCACACATTTTTCCACTAGCAGCCAGCTGAGGGTCCTGAAGTCTGTGTAGTAAGATTTCTGCTGAATTTATTCCATAGCTTTACCCTTTACTCCCTGTATAGGCGGCTGCCAAGGTGCCCCCTTAATTCTTCCTCTTTTCCTTTTGTAGCTACCCTGAAAACTCCCAGATTTCTCAGTTATTGCCAACAAGCAGGGTCTTCCCACCACCTGTGAGCATCACCCCCAATTTCTACCCCCTCCGTGGACCCCTGACTGAAAGTTCTCTGGAACTGGGGGGGACACCCCCCCAAATGGAGAAAAATCTGTTAACTACTGCGGTAATTAGTGGCTTTTGAAAGTAAACTTTATTTACTTCTCTAAGAACGATATAAACATTATGCATCATTGAGTTAGCACTTAAGTATAGTACTGTTTCATGTAATTATGAGAGAAACGTCTGTATAGTTCAACTCGTTCAAACACTGTCCATTAATATACCCAATGGTGGCTCTGAGCCAGTTAAAGCCAGTTGTACTGCTTAATCTATGCAGAGCTGGGCATGCCTATTGGTTGTAAATGGGATTGGAAGCACTGAAGTATTCGTAGGATTGAGCTAAACTGAGCTGCTAATTGTACGAGGTCTGGTTGCATGCATAAGGCAGAGAAACGGTTTCCATTGAACGGAATGAGGCTGTAGCTCCAGGAAGGTGTGTTGGTCCAAAAAACAAAGTCAGGTAATACCTTTCGGTAAGATCTACCAAATGACACACAGCAGTGTGTAGCCTCTTGAGTTTGGCAGAACGCTTTGTCGGACTCGATGGTAAAAAAAATTACAAAACCATAAAAGGGCGTGTCTGAAAAAGCAGATGTTTCGTGGGTTACTCGTGATTAACTGGATGTGAATAACTTTAACTGGATGAGGGCCAATAAATAGGATATGGACTGTTACCCCAACACTGTGATATAACCAAATGCACCCTTCTGAAGGGTCCAGCAAAGCATCTTCAAGGTTTTCTAATATATATATATTTTTAAGTGCCAGAATAATTTTTCTGTTTTAATCATAATGGGCGTTGGGTCAAGCTTCTGTGACTGATTCTCTGAGGTTCAGAGGTGATGATGTTTTGTTTATTGCTGCCCCCTGAACTCCCCCCCCCCTCATTGTTAGCATTCTGAGGGGAGGGAAATGATTTCACAAGACTGCTTTCTCTCTGCTTTCCCTTCTGTATTTGGTTTGCTTATTGGCACATTTTTGCATTCTTGGGAACAAAGACACTCATTGACCTTTCTTATGGCCCCCTCTCTGTAGAAGAAGAAGAAGAGGAGGAGATTGGATTTATACCCCACCCTTCAATACCCAAAGGTGTCTCAGAGCAGCTTACAAACTCCTTTCCCTTTCCCTCCCCACAACAGACACCCTGGGAGGTAGG